GCTCTTAGAGTGTATGTTGTGTGCTCTGGCCCGTTTCGGCACTCAGAGCAGCTCTTTGTATGCTTCGGAGTCCACTCTAAAGGGCTGCTGGTCACAAAGCAGAGACTAACTCGCTGGATAGTGGATGCTATAGCCCTGGCTTACGCCTCAGCGGGAGTGAGAGCCCACTCCACCAGAGGGATGGCCTCCTCCTGGGCTTGGTCCAGCAGAATTTGTATTGGTGATATATGTGCGGCCATCTACATTCACCAGATTTTATAACTTGGATGTCCTTGCCCTGCAGGCATGGATTTTGTCCGCTTAATCTACCTAACCCCCTTTTGTAAGTGGGGAAGGTCATGTTATGTAGTTCTCAGTCGGGTCTCATTATTAGCTCATGCTTACAGGAGAGCCCTAAGTATGGGTGCTCCGGGGCTGGGCTTGCAGAGCGGCTTCATTCTGCACTTGCTTATAGCGATTGGATGTGTTTCCCATAGCGTGATTAACGCAACGGGAGAGACCGTTCGAAAGGGAACACTCCAGCTACTTAGGTAGCCTTGGTTCCTTGAGATAAGGGAAGGAGCGTTGTGTAGGCTGTCGCGCTATGAGGAGTTTCCCCATAGCGTGATTAACGCAACGCTCATTCTCTTATCTCAGGAAACCGAGGTTACATAAGTAACCGGTAGACCAAGACCAGGCGAAGACTTTGAAGGGTTGAAACCAAAAGACAAGACCAAGGCAGGTTAAGACTGAGTCAAGACCAAGACTAGAACAGCACTTCTCAAATTAAGCTGAAAGATCCATATTTACTGCCTGAGAAATGTCTTGATAAAATAATAAAACGTCATTGCAGAGGTAAATTTTATGTGTAGGAACTTTCCTTTGGTTTCTATAAGCAAACAAATAAAAACACTAGGAAGCTGAAATTAACTTAACAATCTTTATTCAACAAAATATACAATTTTAAATATAGAAATATGATTAAAAAATATATATACATTTAGACATGAAACTAAGTTAGGTGGTGGCAAATCAATAAATGAGGGAGTCACAGAATAATTTATTCAACAGAATTGTTCAAAGCAGCTTTTGGTGACATATATGACATAATCCCCTGTTAAAGGTACAGTATGTAACATTGAGAGCTAGCATTTGAAATAGGTACTGCAGTCCAAATCCAAAATATTGGAGAGAGTTGTTTTTCCTAGAACATTTTCAATGGATTCCAGGGCTTTTTATGTCAGGTAGAATGTGCAGTCTCTGACCCAGTTCATTTGCTGGCCTCCATGGCTGCAATAAGCTGTTTTCTTCACCAAGTGGCAACCCTGGGTGTTGAAATACTATTGGGTAAAATGGCAGTGGGTGGAGTCACACAGACCAAAACAAAAACAGACATTCCGACGCAGAACACAAATTTCAAAGTAAAATAACTGGCTGTGGCATTGATTCTCAGAGAAACAAGTCTGTGAACTTAGCATGTTTCCTAAATATTGGCAAACATATTTTGGTGTTTTTATGCTTTAGTACAGTCAAAAAAAAAAAAGACATACAGCACCTTTAATTTCTGACCCAGCAAAACAGTATCAAATTAAATAAATTACTTATTGCATATGAAGCAGGAAGTTTTACATCCAATCACAGTAATGATGTTAACAAACAAGTCAGACAATGCACCAGCAATTGAGTGCCCGGCAGTTAAGGTCTTGACCAGTCTTGAAAAAGGAATCCAAAGTCCTCTTATTCTGAGAAAGAGTACAAATGCGGTTGATACCAAGACCTTCAAAAAATGGTCTCGAGACCAAGACCGGTAAATGATGTCAGAAGTGCAATTTTTGGGTGAACAAACCCTTAAAGGGGTCCTATTATGCTCTTTTACAAAGTCTTGATTTTGTTTTGGGGGTGTACTAGAACAGGCTCTCATACTAGGTTGTTCGAAAAACACATTATTTTTCACATATTTTACATTATTACAACACCTCTCTCCCCAGTCTGGCATGAACGGCTCGAATAGTTCCTGTATCAAATGAAGGCCCGCCTTCTGAAATACGAAATGTGCTGTGATTGGTTAGCTGGGCCAGTGTGTGTTGTGATTGGCAGCACTCGACACCTGGTCGGGAAATGTCATGCCCCCCTTACGATAGCCGCCTGCAAGCTTCAGTATAAATATTGCGTCAAAATCAAATAAATTTGAACGCGATTTAAACCCGGATGATTGTAACCACTCTAAGTTCGTCTGCCTTGGGAAAGCTAGCGTGTCTCCGACACAGTGATAACACTCGTTGCCATTTTAATGCTCAAACAGCAACATTACAGACTAACTAAAGAGTGAATTGGAGAATTTTCATCCGCTGTTCTCCAGATGAGGAAGGGCTGACAGCACGCATGAAAGGATGTTTGGCCAGCATGCATGGCGGACACTATCTCTCTAATGGCAGAATAATGAGGGACGCTCAGCCATTACACCGCGATAACATCTCGCAGCGGCAGAGATAGCGACAGACGCTGCCTAACCAGGGGGCATTATGATTTATAAAAAGTGTGGAGGCCTGACAGTTATGGAAGGAGCTCTTCCTTAAAGAAGGCACAAGGCGGAGATGGAAATTGAACAGTATCAGTATGACCGATAACAAACGACAGGACCACTGACTGCACATTAATTATCCACAGACGCTATGGTAATGGGGGCCATTTGCTATGCAAAGCATGGCTTGTCCGCAGCCACAATCAATATCCAGCACTTTCTAATATGTATTCCACTCGGCTCAGCTGCGCTCTCTCCCTCTCGTTTGTTTTCTCTCTTTTTGAAATGGCTGCAAAATAGTCAGAGGATTCAGACTTTATTAGATGGTTAGAATCTTGAAGTGTACTACTTGTTGTGTACTCAAAATCTTAATAGTAAATATATTTTTTTAAATACTACTAAACTGTACTTGCACATAATACAATATAAATGAAATAAAGGGGCATTTAAGTTTACTTAAAGAGAGAAGTTAAAAAGTGCACTTTGTAATAATGTACTTAAAAGTACTTTAACTTTAAATTTGACATTTTACATAATTATGTGTTAATATATATTTTGTTATGCTTTAAAGTACATTTATTTTGATGTGTTGACTAACATAGTAAGGCACAGTAAAGTATCTACAGCTGCGGCAGTCAGTGAACGATTCTCTGCAATGTTTAGGTTGCGTCCGAAATCGCATACTCTCTGATTAGGTACTTCTTTTGAACAAATAATTGCTTTGTGATCGTTAAAATAATAGTATGATCTATATATGCGTCGCTTTATTGACATTCATAAATCCTGTCCCATGACCTTATGGATTTTTAAAGTGTCCAGTGGATGTGCACTTCAGTATTTTGCTGCATGGGGATTTTTGTATACAGTTTTATGAATTGTGTATTCAGATATATTACTGAAGGTTAACATTCACCTGCTCTATTGTAGACAATGCAAATTCTGATACGACCCACACCATATAATTAAAACACTTTATGCACACATTCAGATGACTCTTCCCAAAAACACAGTTTATTTCTTAATGTGTAAAAATAGCAGCAAACTACTGAATTCATCATCATAAAGATGATTGGAATTTGACCTGGACATTTCATGAAATGTACCGAGGTATATGTGTGTGTTTGTTACCAGTTGCAAAACTTTAGTAGTTGTTGTTTTAAGCACAAAAAATGTGAGTAGCTCTGCATTCTATTTTCAATCTCACCAAAAATTAGCCCACATCTTTCACGTGATCTCATGCTATTCCTGTCTGTTTTGAGCTTACTTTGAGACAGGAGGCAACATGATGCCCGTTACCAGGTTACTCCATCCTTAAAATTTTAATCAGTGGTAACAGTAGCATACTCACTCGCTCACTCACTCACTGTCCTGTGCTCTCTCTGTTTGAAACATAGCCAATCTGGAAGAGATGCCCTCTACAGTGAATATACAGATCCAGGTTCAGGACAGCCACTGCCTGTACAAACTACACTAACACTAACAAGGACAAAAGGTCACAACTACACTACCATTCAAATTGCAATTCAAAATAACTGTTTCCTATTGTAATATATGTTAAAATGTAATTTATTTCTATGATGCAAAGCTGAATTTTCAGCATGATTACTCCAGTCTTCAGTGTTACATGATCCTTCAGAAATCATTCTAATATGCTGATTTGCTGCTCAAGAAACATTAACATATATTTGAACTATACATTTATTTTAACATGATGAATGTCTTTACTGTCACTTTTGATCATTTTAATGCATCCTTGATAAATAAAAGAATTTTAAAAAAATTAATAGTTTTTTTTAAATAATACTGCCAAGTTTTGAACGGTAGTGTATATTCATAAAGTTTGTAACACAGATTAAACTGATAACAATTATTATGTGGTGAAGTAAATACTATGGAAAAAACAAATATAATTTTTACATTCAATAAGTTTGTTCAGGCAAAGTTTTTTAAAAGTAAATTCTATGTTAGTAATCAATTCAATTTAGTAGACATTAAAGTTTGAACATATGTATATTTTACTGGAATTGTTTGTTACATTTGCAATGATTCTTTGAGTAAATATTAAAGTATCAAAGTAGCGAATACCAGGATCAAATAATTTCTAGGTTCATGGAATTAGACCTTGAGGCACATGGAAACAACTGAGGAAACAATCCTCAAATATATTCTGATCAAAAATTTAACGTGCTTAGTATTTTTGGAAGGTCAAAACTAAATACTGTACATTTGCACTGAAAAAAATATTTTGTTTTTTTGTTTTTTTTGCTGGTCTATCATTATCGTATCAGTGATTTCAGGTTTATTCATCCTCAGTTGTTGCAAAAATAACTTTGCTTTGCTGCTTTGCCTTTCGGTCAGCGTTATTGTGTTGTCTAAGTGGGCAGTTCTTGGACAGAATAAGCTGCAATGAGGACCAAACTTTATCAGATCACTTGCATATTTATCTATAAACAAATGAATCAGTGATTAATCCTATTTCTCTGTTTGTGTGTGTGTTCAGATTCCTCACGGTCAGGGAAAAAAGAGAGTCGGTGTCCAGCGCCTGGTTGTGACGGCACAGGTCATGTGACGGGTTTGTACCCGCATCATCGCAGCCTGTCTGGATGTCCTCATAAAGACAGAGTCCCACCAGAAAGTAAGCACAACATTCTAAACCTCAGTGCCACATGTGCTTGCATTCGTCCTTTAAACCTTTGCTGTTTTTCAAGCTGGCATTTATGAAAAGAGGTCGTAATCATTGGTTGACCGTGTGTCTGTATGTGTTTGTGTGACCCAGTCTTCAGTTCATTCTGCGTGCCGTCCTCCTCAACACACACACACACACACACACAAACACACACACACACATAAACATCTGCTCATTCCTATGCAATACCTTTTCAGCTCTATAACTTTACATTTTTTGTACTTTAAGAAAGTGTTGACAGAATTTCAGGACAGATTTTTTACAATTGTATTTTTTCTTTCTTTCTTTTTTTTTAATTTTAACTACATTCCAATAGCCAGTGATATTCAAAATACTGCTTACTTCCAAATTCAAAATACTACAAAAATACTTCTTTTTACACCCGATGGGGGGACTGGGGATGGTTGTAACATTTTTGACATTTCTGTCTGTATCAGTCTCCCTCTACAATATTTTGCATTAAATTAAAAAACAAACAAAAAATAAATAAATACATAAAAAACATGAAATTATTTGCCAAGCATTTTTACGGTCCAATGCGATGGACATGACTATTAAAATATTTAAATATACTGTTTTTGTTGATTAGCATTGATTAAATTTACAGTAAGTAAAGCATATTTTGGTGTCCCTGGAACATAATTTAGGTCAGAATGTGTTAAGATTATATACCGTATTGACCCGAATATAAGACGATGTTTTTTTCTTGGAAATACATCTGAAAAAACACGGTCGTCGACATGAAAGTATACTGCATAGTGGAAATGACCCATCTACCCTTCAGCTTAGGAGACAACTTCTCGCAATAGAGGAGCAGCCATCGCAATATCATAGACATGCATGAATGCATTGCTTGTTTCTGTTGATAATTACAATGCTATCTTAATGGAGGCCAGTTTAATAAGCTGGTTAGATTTCTCATTTTGTTTTAGATGCTCAATTAAATCCAGTTGAATAACCTGTAATAATTATAATCCGATGAGAGTTACAGACAGATTTCCTCTCATTCACCTTGAGCAAACCTCTTTTATGCGATTCATTAAAATGCATACAAAAATTGCGTGTGTTTTATTCACAAATTAACCAGATGGCAGTCAAACTAACTGATGGCTTTGACTACAGGCTGGAATTAGATAACAAAAAGATTTGCTTTTAAAGTGTCCAGCTGGCAAGACAGTTTGAAGTGGCATTGCAAGGGCATTTTTAGACGGCCATCACTTTAGTGTGGACCGTGACATATGACACATGTTTACTGAATGTTTGGTTCGTTATGCTGAGTCACTTAGTGGCTGTTCTTTCTTTATAATCCTGTAAGCATCTTCAAGTTATATTAAAAACCATGTTTTGTCTTATGTAATATCATTATTGTTGTAGTTTTTAATTATTATTTCATTATTAATGGTAAAAACTTCAAAAAAAATATGTAAAAAAAAACAACAACAACTGTGATTGTCAGTAATTCACTGTAAAATATACAGTGACAATATTTCTGATATTACATACAACCATATATGTCTTTCAGGAATATAATCATAATATAGTGATCTACTTGAACTATTAAAAATGGCCCCATTTTTTTTTTACCTTAAATTGCACTGATAACCATCATGATAATACAGGTGGCACATTAGAAAACCACATGGTGAATCAGAGTTCTTTGTAAATGATCTGTCCATAAAACATGATAACATGCACAGGGTCATAAACACAAAGACAAAACATTATCAGGATAACGTCTCGGTTACGTATGTAACCCTCGTTCCCCGAAGGAGGGAACGGAGACGTCACGTCGGATGACCGACGAATTGGGATCTCGCTTAGAGGGGCCAATCTACTTCGAGTGTAAACTAAACGAGCCAATGCACATTGGCATGCGATTATTGCATCCGCATGACACTACAATAATGCAATAAACATCCTCTTAAGAACACAATATGTAATTAAACACTTTAATGAACATTACTGAAAATAAATATGGGAAATATAGGGGAAAACATGTTTTTCATAATTCATAGTTTCTACCTGCAAAAATCATACATTTCACACTATTTTACAGCATAACTCCATGTAATTGCATTTTTATTTTTAAATTTTTTAAAGAATACAAGCATTTTTACAGTGTGGGTATGTAACCACAATTTATTTTTGTCTTTAAAAACAAATGAGGGATTTAACCTTGAATCTTTTGAAAAGGATTCTAAGATTCTAAGTGTGATCTTCAGTTCTCATCAAGTTTGGACAGATGATCAGTTTGATCGCTTGAGTTTTGATATTCCAAATCTGCTAATAAACTTGATCATGAAGATGGCAGACAGGATATCTTGGCAATCCTTTTTGTCAATTGAAACGAGTCTTTGTAAGTGACCTTGGGACCATGTTCTGAGAGTCCTTCACTGAGAGAGAGAGAAAAAAGTAACTACATATGTTCCAGTTTATGCTGGATTCACACTGCACGATTTTCAAAATCGTCGGATCGCTGCTCTTCTCACACTGCACAACTTGTTTGGGGTAATATCTAGTTGCTGTTGTGTGTGCACTACATGACAGATTGGTTGGTCACACATTACACAACTACTCAATTGGAAGAATCATCAACCAGTGTTAATTTTGACAGCAAATTTTGATTTAGTTTTAGTCATAGTCTTTTGACTAAAATGCCATTTATCAGAGCCACGCAGCAGATTCCTTCTGAATTAATCTCTTCCCAAATCGTCCCTCCCATAACATTTTCGTCTCGTTTTTATTCGTTGACGAAAATGTCAATAGATTTACGTCATAGTTTTTGTCATTCAAAAAGAGTTTTAGTTCGTTATCCTCTTGTTGTCGTCGGCGGAAAAAATGTCGTTGACGAAAATTATTCGTCAACGAAATTAACACTGTTGCCAACAACTCTGCCTTGTCTACAAACTACGTTTCACAACCAAACAGACACGAGAATCGATATGGAAAATAACATAAGATCATGCGAGAGACAGGCATTATCATGTGAGAATGATTTAATTCCGTCAAAAACAGTAGCCTGCAAAAATCTTGCAGTCCAAGTTGTCTGTACAATGATTTGCCGTGAAAAATAAAAAAGAAACAAAGAAGAATATGGAGAGAATGATTGCTTGCTGATGCTCTGTTGCAGGTCTATTATGACTCCTCCCCCCGAACTTTCCCTTGCCCTGTATTAGAGGGCTGCATTGGGTTTGGGCTCCCGCGGGACCCGCGGGACCCAACGCAAATCTCGCGGGAGCGGGCGGTTTTACCTTTGCTGCGGGCGGGAGTGGGCGGTCAGAAAATTTCGCGGGAGACCCGCGGGGAACGGTGGGATTTGGCGTGTAGTAGAAATAGAGTCAAAACAAGAAGTTGAGAAGAGAATTAAAGCGGCTGTTTACTTGACAAAAGCAAAGCAAGGCAAGTCAGATATCTGGAAACAATTCTCAATTGTCACTGAAAAAAATGGGACAGAGTTAAACTTTGTACGTTGCGATAAATGTGCAAAAGTGTTCGTTTACAACGGACATAAATCTGGCACCTCTGCCCTGAGGCGACATACCTGCACAATTCTCTGTGGTCAAAGCAAGCTCTTTTTTTAGTATTATTTATTTTCTTTTTTGCAATAGCCGGTTAAGCAAGCTATTGTGAATGTGAAATCTGTGAGATATTTAAGCATTCTATTTATTTTATTTTTTCGTTTTGTATTTAATTTGTTAAAATTATATCTAGCCTATTTTCAAAGTTCTCTGTGTTTATTTATTTAATGTTAAAGTTATTTCCTAGTTAATTGTTTGGTGCGTGTGTATGCAGTAGGCCTAGCCTGCGTTTAAAAACTGAGGTGCCGCTAGTTGCTGTTTTGTTTGGACGGTTAATGTTTTATAAGCTAATAAAAAAATACCCAATGTTTTTGTCATGTGTGGTGCTTTGGTTTAGCATTGGTTACTTCATCTTATTTAAACGCAATCATGTTTAAAGTCTGTTATTCTGGATGTTAACTTAAGTATTTGTGTATAATTTTCACAAGCTCTGAGATAAAGTCCGCGGGAGCGGGCGGGAGTGGACACAAACATTGCGGGCGCGGGCGGGAGTGGAACACATAGGTTGCGGGAGCGGGCGGTCCTGGTCATACATTCAGCGGGAGCGGGCGGGTGCGGGTTTAAGAAAACAGTCCCGCGCAGGGCTCTACCCTGTATTGTGCTCTGTCATTGACTGTAGGGCATCGCCGATGTCATTTCCAGTCAAGGCACATTCACGCTGCAGGACTGTGCGTCGCCGACACCTCCAGATATTTAGCATGCCAAATATCTCACGGGCATCGGTGACACATCGGCGCTTCTCTCAGATCGCGTCTTTGATAACATACACTACTCGACTGTCACTAACATGAACCTCTGATTTTGGGCATTTGTCGGCGATTTCCACAAAACTGTCAGCGAGTGAAAATTGGGGCTAACATCGTGCAGTGTGAACCCGCCATTAAGGGACCTAAGAAATGGGAATTTCTTGAAACTACATAAAACCCATGTCAAACCAACAGAATATATCTATGTGTTATCTAATAACAAATTGATTGCTGAAATGTTAAATGGGGTCATATGATGCTTTTTTAAAGATCATTATTTTGTGTATTTGGTGTAACAGAATATGTTGACATGCTTTAATGTTCAAAAAACATTATTTTTCAAATACTGTACATTATTGTAGGTCCTATATGCCCCGCCTCTCTCAAACACTTCGTTTTTTGTGAGTTCCCAGCATGCATTGCAGCATGAAGAATTTATGCTGTTACTGTTATAGGAGTTTTGTTTCGCTGTTTGCTGACTTTTGTTTAAACTTGTAAGTTATTTGCTGTGTTGTGATGTTAAGAGCTCATCTTTTTGTCACCATTCTTGAGATTTGTGTCAAGTGGTGAGGTCTATGTACAACCTTCCCTGATATTTTTGCTTTGTAAGGTGATCAGAAACAAAAAATAGCAGAGTTTACTTCACATATTAAGTGTCTTATAAAACTATATCTATATATAACTACTAAAATGACAGATCAGTTTATTGTGTTACTAACTGAATATTTGCTGAACAAGAAATCTGTAGTTAACTCAATGAAGTTATTGGTTATTGTAGTTGACATATGAAGTTATTTGTTTACTAAACAAAACCAATTAAAATTAATTAAAGAGTTCACCTGAAAATACAAATGATGTCATAATTTACTCACCCTCAAGGTGTTTCAAACCTGTATGAGTTTCTTTCTTCTTTTGAGCACAGTTGATGGTAGCCATTGACTTCCATAGTATGGGTGGGTAAATAAATAAATAAATAATAATATGTATGGAAGTCAATGGCTACTGTCAAATGATTGGTTGCCAACAATCTTCAAAATATTTTCTTTTGTGTTCAGCAGAAGAAACAAACTCATATAGGTTTGGAACATCTTGAGGGTGAGTAAATGATGATAGAATGTGCATTTTTTGGGTGAACTGTCTTTGAAGTGTTACTTTGGACAATTTTAAGACGATAGTAGAGAGAATGTAAAAATCTGAATGCATCATGTTGCACAGAATTTTTTTTTCTTAAGTAAAACCACTCACCTTAATGCAAATCCAGTATAAATCTTAAATGAAATTGTAATTGCATTCAGACACACAAAGGCATGTGTCTCAGTCAGTGGAGGTAGCGGATGCTGCCTGCTGCTCGGTAATGAACATGTCAGAGTATGTTGAAGATGAGGGTGAAGGATTAAGGAGCTGATAATGATGAAGCTGAGCACCGGAAGAGCGCTGGTCTGCTCACCCTGACCCACGCTCTCTGCCCCCCACTCCAGCGTCCTAATGAACAGTAATCTAATTGCTGTCGGCAGGGAGTTTAGTTGGTCATGGATAGAGGAGACAAAGGCATGCACGGATGTATAATAGAGTTTGGGATCAGAGAGAGGCAGTGTTTGGGCGGTGATTTCATTGATTGTTAACGTGCGTCTACTGCAAATGAAAGACAAATGCGGAGCTGAAACAATATAGAGCGGCAGCACCTCACTGCAGATGACTGGATGCATGAGCTAATGTTAGCTGACAGCTTCAGCTAATGATGAGAATGCAATCAGGGTCAGAGCTCTCTGTGAAACCGTCTTTCTGCATCACTCACAATCCACCGCACTGGTGTGTTAAACTAAGCATCAAATTTTACTTACACCATCTTCAAGCTAGCAGCAGGGAATCCAGTTAAACAGAATAGAATAGAATAGAATCTGAAGGTTATTTCCAGGTTCATTAGCTTTTAAGGTATGCTTTGTTAGGCATTAAGCATTATTGTTAATCATTATAGAATATTATAATGTTTAAGTTAATGAAAATTATTATAAAGTGATGCCCAGATTTTACTTCAAGTTCATTTTAAGTTCAAGTATAAGTTCAAGTGTATTTTTCAAGTGCACTTTATACAGTAAATATACTAAAAATCAATGTGTACTATTTCAATACTTCTTGTGACTATGACTTAATTGCTCAATTCGTAGTTTAAAACACTTTACTATTAAGGGTACTTTAAGTGTAACTGTGTTAAACGTTGTGTACAGAGCTACAAGTGAACTTACTGTGTATGTATACTGTTAGTTTGCTAGCTGTATAGTGTACTTGTAAACTCCTAGTTTTTTTAAGTTTTGATACTTAAAGTAAGTTTTAAGCTTTACTATTTTCTGTATATGGTTTTGGCACATTAGATTTACTACTTGATTCCTATTTTGGTAATAATTTAAATTCTTAAAATATACCTTTGACTGTATGGCTAGAATAGAATAGAATATAATAGAATCGAATCGAATATAATACAATAGAATAGAATAGAATAGAATAGAATAGAATAGTTCACATGGTGTGTAAGCATTGTAAGAAATTAACTCAATTATAAGGGAATTAATTATTAATTCTATTTCTAGCTCAGGTTCCTACAGCATTATAGAATGGTATAATGTTCATTTATAAAGTAAATGAAAGTTAGTATAAAGTGATACCCCCTTTTTTAAAATGCATTACGTATATAAAGTGAAAAATTGCTTAAATACTTAAATAATAATTTCTGGCCTTGTTACTAACTACATTTAAGTATTTGTAAATATTGTGAGTTTCATATGCTTGCATTACCAGTCAGTGTCGAGATGAGTTCCTGTTTATCCCATTAGATCCTCTATAGTGGTTAGAACCTTACAAAAAAAGAAAAACACTTCAAATTCATTTGATAAAGTTAATGTAAGTGCAGTTTAAGGATATCATCCAGGTGTACTTTAAGTATACTAAAATCAACGTACTAGTAGTATACTTTTAAGTGTACTATTTCAACACTTCTTGTGACTGAATTGGCCTACTCTTTAGTTTATAAAAGTCTACTTTTAAGTATATTTCAATGTAATGGTGGTAAACTTTGAGTACACAACTACTGTAGTTTATGATTAAGTTTTACTTTTGTACTTCAACACTGTGAACTATACTACTAATGAATATATAAGCATACTGTTAGTAGCTGTATAATTACTATCCCACTTTTTAGTTTATGGAAGTACACTTTGAAGTTACTCTACGTAAACTACTAATTAATAGTTTTTTAACTACTAGTAGTTACTAGGCTTTTTTACATGAAATATACATAGAATAGAATAGCATAGAATAGAATAGAATAGAATGTTATTTGTAGCATGACTTGCGCTGCATGGTGCATGTGCATGCCACTGTTCTTCCATTAGCAGTTCTTTGCATGCCACTGTTTGATGTCTCTGGTTCTGAGCATGCTGGCGATAATGACGAGTGTTTCACACTAATGCAGATGACTAACTGTGGGCCTCTAACTCCTAATCTTCCACCCTATTTCTCTCGCCTGCTGTCAAGTTCTTGCAATGTATGAAAATGTTCTAAAGTGCCCTACGCCTGGCTGCACGGGCCGGGGTCACGTCAACAGCAACAGGAACTCTCACAGGAGGTGAGTTCCACTTTGTCTGGATGAGAGAACCTGTTCTGTGTTCATTCTTAGCATCTTTATTTACAGAGTCAAAATCACAGTGCTGCCTACTTACTTTCCCTCAGCAAATTTCTCAGTTTTATCTTTGGTTTCTAATTTCTAATCTAATTAGACTATTTTTGATAACATTTATATTACTTTTGACGTAAGTTGTTTATCACATTGATTTGTATAGGATTGTTTTGTATCACATTGATAAAAAAATACAAAGATAAAGAAAATATATTTCATCCTTTGTTATCAACAACTTGAAGTGCATTAAATGTCACATAACATCAAGGTTTCCCAAACTGGGGTTTATGAAAGAACTGCAGGTGGTTCATGAGTTGATGATAAACTGATACTTAAATCATAAAAATGTAAAATTTTAATTTAAAAAAATCATAATTTATTTTGTTTGTTTACCTGCATGTTGATGTAAAGAAAATATTATTAATTACTATTATTATTATTATTATTAGGGATAATCTAAAAATTAAGAATAATTTACTGTGTGAATAATATGTAATGTAATCAATAAAAAAGTAACTGTGATCTGAGCATTTTAAAATGCAATATAATCTAATTAGAAGTACTTAATTTTGGGAATATTCTTACGTAATCCAGATTAAGTCTAGTCACTCAAGTCACCTTTATTTTTAATAGCGCTTTATACAATAAAGATTGTTTCAAAGCAGCATTACAGTGTTAAACAAGAAAGTAAAAGAGCTAATGATGCAAACTGCAAAAATTACGCAAATCCAAATTCTGCTATAAAGCTGCTATAGCAAGACAATAAGACTCATTTTTCAGCTCCAGTCAGTTCAGTTGGTTCAGTTCAGTTGAATGACAGTGTAAAGTTCATTCTTTATCAAGCAAGTTCGATTCAGCAATAAGCAGCTCTACTAAAAACAGTTAACAAATCATGTTGCTATTCAGCTCAAGTCAGTTCAGTGTTGATTCAGTATAATTAGTTGCATATCATCTATACCCAACACTGTGTGGGACTACCTATTTTTCTCAAAAAGTGCCAGACATGGATGTATGAATGGGGAGTGTTTGGGAAACCAGTTTGAAAATAAACATTATTTCTTGCAACTTTGTTTCATGTTGCTAGTGATGTCTGACGTCTACGGAAGTCCTAAGAGGCCATGGATTATTAATATTTTTCTTTTTTGTTTTCTCGTGATCACGACATAACAAAAGTTGTTTTCTCGTGATCACGACTTAATCATTTCTCATGATCTTGACATAACGAAAGTTGTTTTCTCGTTATCACGACTTAATTTTCTTGTGATCTCGACATAACGAAAGTTGTTTTCTCGTTATCACGACTTAATTTTCTTGTGATCTCGACATAACGAAAGTTGTTTTTTTAGACTGTTTGATCTACTGTTGCTATAGTAATGAACGCAACTTTGATACGCATCTGATCGATAGATAAACCGTGCGCTCTTACTGTAGTCTATGTTGTGGATATGTCAGCAAATTTTGCTTCGCTTAGTAATAACGTCTACAATACATAAATAAAGGCTAATCAATCACTGTTGATATTTTTTCCAGAGACAGTAGGCTAAGCAAAAATATTTTGTTTATGTAATTAACATGTTTAAATGGTCAAAGCAACACCGGAGCGCCTTCAGAAGGATGCAGAGAACTATTCTAAAATCCTTTAGAGCTGTTTGGATTCAACTCACTTTATTTTTCTTTTATTTGAAATAAAATTACATATAATTTGTCATTTTTAGTAGCCATGTAGGATATGCTGACTGATAGTGTGCGTTACAAGCTGGATGCTGTTTGAAAAGAGTGTTTGTGTGTGTGTGCGTGTGTGTGTGTGTATGTGTGTGTGTGTGTGTGTGTGTGTGTGAGAGAGAGAGATAGAGAATGGTTTCCACAAAAAATGTAGAAAATACAGAAGATTACAACTCTGTAGAACACCACTGAATTAAATTACCCTATACACTTTACATATAAATCACATTATCAATATACATTTAATGATTAACAATAAAGATTCAAAATAAGGAAAAGATGCACATTACAAATACATCGTTGAAGCACGTCCTAGATAAACATAACATCCCTGCTTATTAACTAACAATCATGTGCACAAATAAAGATATAGGTGCAAACAGAATACAGTGACGTCAACATTCCGTTTATGACGGAACGCGGCTTGTGAAACTCATGCATCTAGAAAGAACTTAACGATACACAAAATAATCATATTGATTCAAGCATTTAACATTTATGAATTAATTAAATGTCGGTAATGAACAATACTGCACAAATTATAGCGATCACGAAGAAGGTCCTTATTCTGTCCCAAACGCGGACAATAAGGTGGATATACAGTATACAACACCCCATCAGTTATATTCAGTTCTGTACTGCCACCTGTTGGCGCAGTTGTGTAACTTAGAGAACAACTTTGTCGAGATCATGAGAAAATTAAGTTGTAATAACGAGAAAACAACTTTTGTTATGTCGAGATCACGAGAAAATATTAAGTCGTGATCACAAGAAAACAACTTTAGTTATGTCGAGATCACGAGAAAATTAAGTTGTAATAAAAAGAAAACAACTTTTATTATGTCGAGATCACGAGAAAATATGGAGCACGCCACGGAGGCAGCCATCAGCGTCGGCGCCATCTTGGATTGATCACGAGAAAATTAAGTCGTAATAATGAGAAAACAAAGTCGTAATAACGAGAAAACTTTTATTATTTTGTGATCACAAGAAAACAACTTTCGTTATGTCGAGATCACGAGAAAATTAAGTCATAATAAGGAGAAAACAAATTTTATTATGTCGAGATCACAAGAAAATATTAAGTCGTGATCACGAGAAAACAACTTTCGTTATGTCGAGATCACGAGAAAATTAAGTCGTAATAACGAGAAAACAAAGTCGTAATAACAAGAAAACAACTTTCGTTATGTCAAGATCACGAGAAAATTAAGTCATAATAAGGAGAAAACAAATTTTATTATGTCGAAATCACAAGAAAATATTAAGTCGTGATCACGAGAAAACAACTTTCGTTATGTCGAAATCATGAGAAAATTAAGTCGTAATAACGATAAAACAACTTTTATTATGTCGAGATAACGAGAAAATATTAAGTCGTGATCACGAGAAAACAACTTTTGTTATGTCGAGATCACGAGAAAATAAAGTCGTGATCACAAGAAAACAACTTTCGTTATGTCGAGATCACGAGAAAATTAAGTCATAATAACGAGAAAACAAAAAAGAAAAATATGAATAATCCATGGCCTCTTAGGACTTCCGTAGACGTCAATGCAAGACTACATTCATTTATTGAATAGATTGACAGTGATGAAAAATGTAGAGTACTACAAATGCACAATGACTCAAGCAGCTTTTAAAACACCACATTCCTCTGTGGAAGGCTTTGCGTGTGGTTTGTAGTGGGCTGATGAAATGGTTCATTCAGTTATTTGAAGTGGGTGCTTCAGTAATGCTCTCAGCAGCTGCTGTAGGGCGCGTCAGCCATTAGCACTTCACTGACACCTCACCAGGGGAGACGGCCCACTCCAGACGGCCGCCACAGTGCCCTGAACACACACACACACACACCTCACTTGTACTTGCAAGAGTGAAATTACATTTCCTACAGCCCAACAGAAACCTGACAGCTCGCTTCATGTCATGAACACACACACACACAAACACACACACACACACACACATCTTCAGCTACTACAACCTTTCATATTTCTGTGTGCTGAGTTAGTAGGTCTACCTAGAGGAGCCTTGTATTGCTCTCAGGTTGCTTTTATTTGTACACAGAAAAAAATATATATTTTCTTACTCAGTATTTTGGATTTGTTCGCCAGCACATTCTGAGAAGCAAAATGACATAAAATATATGACATAATAATTTTACTAAAAATACATGAAAATTTACTTTTGCTTAAAAGTAGAAAACATATCTGACAATGGTAAGAAAAATCTTTTTTTTGCCTTTGAATTCAATTTATTGTTCATACCCCATTGACATATTTTTCTTCTAAGTATAAACTCAAAACTTAAAATTAAGCTTAAAACTTAACTTAAATTCCGGTATTTTTTTTTAGAAAACAAGACTAAATATAAGCTTATATAACTAAATAAGTTAATATAACTAAAGTTAGTTTGCTTCTAGAATAAATCTATATTTATTTAAGAATGTTTAGATATTTGTACTGGAAAACAAGACAAAATATTAAGTAATCAATCAACCAATCAATCAATCAGTCATTCTTTGCAATCTAGCTTCTGAGAATTAATAAAGTTAGTAATGTATGAACTTTGCCTAAGACATTTTTCTTTAAATTTTTAAGGAGACAAAAAAAAATCGACACAAATCAGTCAATTAACATTGACATACAGTAAAAGTATGGAGCTATAAAATTAGGTTTATTAGTGTGGATAATCATTTAAACTTTAATGGACAATTTTATAATGAAATCTCTAGCTTATAATAGCAAACATTGATCTCTGGTATTGTGTCAGAACCCAGTGGCCGGTTGCATATAATGCTTAGTCTCACATGTTAGTAATCTAATTGTTTTAAGTCAGTTGAATAAAAAAAACGTAGATTGGTCTAATATGAATCTGAAAAATAAGACTGATAACCCCTTGGCTAACTGCTAGTTGGTCAGACTAGATTTTCTTTTTTAGACACAGTCTTAACATAGAAGCAAAGCTAATGAAACTGGTCCCAGATAGTACAATGGTGGTCCCAAACTTTATTTCATGTAGTCTTGGTCATATTTTCTTGCATATATTTGCTGAAGTGCCCTACCAAATCACAGGAGAATTTCAACCAAAATATTGGAAAATTGGATTGGATGCACAACTTTTGATGTTACAACAAACAATATGGAATGTGTTTTCTATTGTCTTTTTCTCAGGGGGCAAATCTGAGAAGCAGAAGAAGTCTCAATTCTTTATAATCTTTATGGATTTTTTAATCCATAATGCTGTTTTGCATGAGAAACAACTGAGACATTTAAGAGATCTCACTTTTGTGATTTTTCTTTTTTTACGGGTCAGCGTTCTACTTCTGACTTCATACTGTATAAAGCAGATTGTAAGAGATGGTACATCAATGATGAGTCTCAGAAATGAAGACTGATGAATCTGCATTTGATACTTCACTGATATGTCACATATTGTTATGTCTTTTTTAAGACATGTCCCTGACATTTATTTCTGTTCATCCAGCCTGTCGGGCTGTCCAATAGCGGCTGCAGAGAAACTGGCCAAAGCCCATGAGAAACATCCGTCATGTGATGGAGGCAAATCCAACCAGGCTTCAGATCGTGTGCTCAGGTAACCGGTCCTCGTTGCTTTTTCGTTGACACTCCAGGTCAAGCTGTGAATTTGGTTCTTAGCTAGAAACAGGGTAGTTAAAAAATAGGCAACAATTTGTGTTGAATTTTCTGTGCAAAGTTCATGAAATGGATAGCATGCATTCATTCATATGATACAATATAAACCGCTGGTTGAATCTGTTCCAGGCCCATGTGCTTCGTCAAACAGCTGGAGATTCCACAGTACGGCTATAAAAACAATGTGCCCACTTCAACCCCACGATCCAACCTGGCCAAAGAGTTAGAGAAATACTCCAAAACCAACTTTGACTACAACAGCTATGACAACACCAACATCTACAGCAAACGGCACACTGCTGCACTCAAAGTCCACAGTCGGGACACACTGCCCAAGACTGATGATGGTAAGACCACAGCATTCACGCGTCTGCGCTATGATATCAATACACGCCACTGTTCAAAAGTTTGGGGAAATCATTGTAATATGCTGATTTGATGCTCAGTTATTGTTAGTGAGCAATTATTAATAATGGTTCTTATTATTATCAATGTTGAAAACAGTTGTGCTATTTCATATTTTTGTGGAAACTGATACTTTTTTTTCTTTCAGTATTCTTTGAATAGAACGTTCAAAAGAACATTTATTTGAAATGGGCATCTTTTGTGAACTTTATAAATGTCTTTACTATGACACACTGCCCAAAAGCGATGATGGTAAGACCTCAGCATTCACACATCTGCTCTATGACATCAATATATACCACCGTTCAAAAGTCATTCTAATATGCTGATTTGGTGCTCAATTATTATTAGTGCGCAATTATTAATGATGGTTCTCTGGGTCATTGCCAACTTATGTTATTGGTTATTGCTAACTAAAACTAAAACCATAAGAAAATAAATTCTTTATTTTAAAGAAAATAAACACTAACTGTTAGTTTAACTTGAAGTACTAAAATAACTCAAACAAAATAATCTAAAACAAAATACTAAATTACTAAAAACAGAAATATAAAAATAGTCTAGTTCAAAATATAAATAAAACGTTGGTAGTATAAATCATACTGACCCCAAACGTTCGAATGGTAGTGGTCTATAAGATATACAGAAACCCAAAAAATGATCTGGGCACTGAAGTTACTCTTTAAAATGTCTGAATGTCATTTCATTAGATGACAACATATCAAAGTAAATGTTCTCTCAAATTCTGCTGGAGCTTATCTCAGAATTAACTTTACTTTTTTAGCCATTTTTGTTATGACTTTTGACCAACAGAACCCCAAGGAACAGCTGTACAGTGACACTTTCAATGTATTATTATTATTAAACAGCGGGAAGTAAGGAACTATATGTTCTGTGGTGATAGGGGCAAATAGCCTGTCAATGAAATTGCAAGGATCTTATAGCACCATAATTTATCTTAACAACATGAACATTTATAGAAATAAAACGTGTTACAGATTTCAGTTTAATAAAAAGGTCACTCTCACATACTGCTTGAGACTGTCAAATCTGTAAAAGATTTACAGAGTTGAAGCAGATTATTGAGCTGATTAATTGAAAGAGCTCACACTTTTCTGGATGATGCGACAAAACTATAAAACTATAAAATAATAAACAATGAAAAAAAAAAAAACCCTGAAAGAAGTTCAACCAGATTCATCTAATACAATTTTATTTGTGCACCAGATGCTAAAAGCCAAATGTGTAGCAGTGTTATTTTAGTATCATTGAGATACTATTATGTTTACTTATTTATGTTTTATGTTTATTATAGTTTTAATATTTTTGTTGTGTTTTTGTCATTTTTATTAGTTTTTTATGATATAGTTTTAGCTATTTTAGTATGTCAAGTTATATAAGAAATAACATATATATATATATATATATATATA